TTTTTTTTTGGAAAGGGTTTTTTTTGGGTTTTTTTTTTTTTTAAAAAAAAAAAAAAAAAAAAAGGAGAAATATGCTTCCTCTGCTGGAGAACTTTACAGTGGCTGAAATTGGATCTTGCAAAATACTGAGTATTTCTTGTGAAATGCTGAGTGTTCTTGACTCACATCAAGTTATCACTTCAGGAAATAAGTATTACTGTAGAATTAGACCCTATATCAAGAGGTTATTCACTGTAGCAAGACTTGCTGATAATTCCTGCCTGGGCTTTTGAATAAAGTTCAAGTTAAGCCATATAGATCCACAGCAAGTATGTTAACTTTTTTCTGGAATCCTGAACCACATTTGGTTTGTGAATTTAATTGATATAAGCCATTCTTCTTACTTTAAATTTCACCAGGCTGTAAGAACTTGTGCCTAACTTCCATCTTGGATTTCTAAATCCATGTTTATATGTAATATTCAGTATTAAAAGGTAAATGTAACTGTTTCTTTCAGCAGACAAACCCACTGGTAAACAAACTGGTGAGGGTTTCTGTTCTGTTCAGGTTCTAAACTGAAACACAAGCTTGGCTGTAAAAGTTTTCTTTTAGAGACTTTTGCTTCTCCCTTTATAATTTGTGTTCTATAATACAATAAACCCAAGAGGATCCCTAGTTATTTTCTTGGCCCATACTACATGTAGCATCTGCACCCCTTGTCCCAAGCTGGGCAATTATTTCAGTAATCCTCTGGCTCCTCTGTTTATCCTTCCTTCTTGGCTTCTGCAGTTAGCCTGGCGTGACTGAGTCTGGTTAAAATAACCTCTTGCCATTTGACCTTTTTCTTCAGGACTTCTTGACGGATTTGGTGATGTCTGAGGTAGATCGTTGTGGGGAGCATGATGTCTTGATCTTCAGGGAGAACACACTTGCTACCAAAGCTATTGAGGAATACCTAAAGTTGGTAGGGCAGAAGTATCTTCACGATGCACTAGGTAAGAAAGTGCCTGCCTGTCGCCTGTTTGCATTGCAAGGGCTAACCCTGAGCCATCTGCAACATGACTGAAACCTCTCATGCCTAGGAATGTGGGATGGGAAGGAACTGCCTCAGCACAGAGCCCTGGTCTAGCAAACTACATGCTTTCTTATTCTTGATGCCCTTCCTCCACACAGAGGAAGATGCTCTATGGTTGCCTGCAGGAGTAGCATGCAAGGAAAGGCAAACTTGACTTGATATAGCGGAGTCCCTCTTAAAGTTTGTATCACCGCATTATGTTTTTGTGGGTAACCTTCTTTTGTGTCTGTAGTTGTGATAAAGAGGTATAATACTGGAATTGATTTGTGGGCAATGGTCATTGTTCCGTCTGATAAACAAACAGGCTTTAAAAAGGGATTTTGACACAAAGTTTAACAGAGGAAATTGAGAGCGATACCTTGTGTCATGGCAATACAGTTAGGTGGAGATTTCAGAACGGGTTGTGAATGTGAAGCATATATTTCACTCATCTCCTTTTACTTAAAGAAGCTTCTGAAAACACTTCAAGCCAAAGTGCCACCACCTAGGGGGTTAGATATACTCAGGGGTATCTGGTTGACAACCCAAGTTCTTATCCGCAAGTGCATATTGCTGGGGCGTCTCCAGTCAGTCACTTGCCCTTGCAGTTAACAGCAAATGTTCGCTATGGTGTTAACAAGTGTTAAGTGTGAGATGCCCACCCTAGCATTTGGGCTGAATGCAGATAGTACAAGAAAACTCACTTCCAGGTGCTTCAGCTGCACCTATTGCAAATGCTGGCATGTTCCAGAGTGACCCTTGGACTTGCTCAGCCCTTACCTTTGCCACGGAGCAATTAATTCATAAACATTTATGTTAACCTTTTAAACTGGTACCTTGTTAACCTTTTAAACTGGTACCTTGCCCCAGCAAAAATCCTTAGACAAACATGGGTGGAGGGAGTGGGGCCACAGGGCTACTGACCAGCACAGGGCGGGAGATCAAGATGCAGACTGTCTAGGGAGCCTCCTGCCTCCCTTTATCCAAAATGCTCTTTATTCACTGTCTCGTTAAAACTCCCTGGCTAACCTGTGATGTCCTATTCCATTCCCCTGGTGGGGTCTTAATGTCTATGGTTACATGCCAGGGTGAATTCTGATAACTGTGTTATTGCCCCCTCTCCACCAAAAGGTTCTGCTCTACTCATAAGCCACTGTCCTGGGAATTACTGGCCACGCAACTAGAATTGCAATAAAGAGGACCAAAATGTGCATGCTCTCTTCCGAAGAAACTCACAGCCTCGCTACAGTTGGCTTTTACCAACTCCACACAATCTTTCTTACCCAAGGTTGCACAATGAGCCACCCATCCCCCTGCTGTTTCTTGGATGAAGAAAGCTTTGGAAATTGATACAAGAGAAGCAAGATCAGACCAAAGCCAAGTCCCACACCACATCCTTTCACACACACACACACACAACACAAGGCAGTTTGCTTTCCCAGCAGTCTCGCTTGTCCTTAGCAATCCCAGACACTGGCAAGTCATCAAGGAGACAGCTGCCTAAATTAGTGCTCCAAGGGTCAGTATAGTCAGGTCTGTGATTATACGCCTTTTGGTCATTTCTTAAGTGTAATGAGCCTGTTCTGGTAGTCTTATTCTCATGGGTGGAACTGCTGAGCGTAAGTCACAGTGCTAGGCTCTCGCCTAGTATGGAGAAATGAGCAGGCTATTACTTTGTGCTAGGGTTTTCAGCAGACTGAACGATCAGCTGTGGGACCAGTATATTACATTTGACTGCAAGCCCCTTAATGTGCAGTAATTACATAAAAATATTGTAAAATTAATGACTTCTAATACATCATTTAGAGCATTGGTGCTGAGTGATAAGGTTGTAAATCATAGATGTGAGAGATGGAAAATCCCCCTAAGGTCATCCAGCTTGTCTGTAGCTCAGGGCAAGGTTGCTCATGACAATATACCCATCTAATTCTTTGTCAAGTTTTAAATGTCATTTTGCTCAGATGCCATGTTCTTTGAAAGGATTAACAACATTATGCTTGGTGTTAGCTATTTAATACATCTGTAAGAGCATCTTAAATATATGATTAAGGCAGGCTCTTGTGGACCACAAAGAGTAAGTTTCAAATGTGTTTAAGGAGGGGTGGTGGGGGGGAAATCAAATAAACAACAGTTAAAACAGAATTGACTCAACAGAAGCGATGCTGAGAGTTTTGCAAATAAGTGATCTAGGTGCCCTCAGCAGAAATGGTTTGGACCCCAACAACAACAACAAAAAAGCTTAAGAAAATATGCTGCCTGCTTTGCTTGCAAGAACACTGCTGACTGGAGATTCAGGGAGGGAAGCTGGGAGGTGTTTAAGGGTTTTTATGAAAACAAAGACAAAAAAACAAAAGCCTTTTGCACAAACAAGCCTTGTGGTGTTAGCTCAGAGCCAGCAAGATGATCTGAGGAGGTGAACTTAAAAGACATTGAATCATTAAATGAGCGAATAAAGAGTTTTTCCTAGTGAACAACAACAGTTGAAAAATCACTTGGTGTACTAGCATATACAGGAGGAAAATTAGTAAGTAGCTTGTTCCAATATGTCAAACAAAGGAAACTTTATCTGTTTTTCTGTGTGGCCAGTTTCTGTTGTGATGCCCTAAGAGAAGGATGACAGAAATACAACGGATTTTTGAACATGCAGGCTATAAAAATGTTGTAAGGTGTTGATAAAAGAGGCTGAGAAAATTAGCAGTCTCTAGCTAGCACTCAGGTATTACTCTTATCCAAGAGCAAGGTGACATTTTAAAAAATTTTTTAAAATGGTAAATTTAGAAATAATAAACAGCATTGTCAAGTGCATTTCCTGGGAAGATCTTGAGGACAAATGGCACAGCTTCATTTCTAAGACTGTGGATCATTTTATGGTTGATAATACAAGTTGAATGCAAAGTGGAATCCTATTCTTCAGGCTGTAAGTGAAGTGTCTGTGGGGTTTGTGAGCAAAGCCATGCTGTTTTGCACCTGTATCTGGGGGTGGTGAGGGCGCAGGAGGCTGAGGCGTCAGAGCACCAGCCGTCTGATCCGGCACGGAGCTGGGAGGAGTCGTGTCCCCAACATCTGGTGTCTGGAGGCTGTATTGCAGACCCAGGGCGCAGAAAAGGCAGTTGCCGTAAGCAGGATTTAAAGATGTGTCAAGGAGGCTTTTCATGTAACTACCCTGGTTTGTCATCCTCTTGCCTTTGTCCAGGGGAGTTTATCAAGGCTTTGTATGAGTCAGATGAAAACTGTGAAGTGGATCCCAGCAAATGTTCATCCAGTGAACTAACAGATCATCAGAGCAACCTGAAAATGTGTTGTGAGCTGGCCTTCTGCAAGATTATCAATTCTTACTGGTGAGGCATCTCCCTTCCCCTTCCTCCCTGATTAGGTCATTTGCTTAGAGGGTGCCCATTCCTCCTCTGAAGATGAGAAAGCAGCAGTTGTACAGGGAAATGGCATAGACCCATCTATCTTCTGAGACTGCCTTCATTTCCTTTCCTCGCTACCTTCCTACATGTGACACCATATTGCAGGTGGAACTTGTGCCCAAATTGAGGCGTTCCAGTCCCACACACCATACCTGACAGGAGCTTTTGCTGAAATACGCTGCCAAGGGAACACATACTGAGCTGTGACTGAATAAGGAGGGAATAGAGAAGGTAACAGCTTAGCTTAAACTTGGATTGATAAACTGAAAGTTTTGATGTGTATAGAAAACTTTCAGGCCCTTTAGATCTGTAGAATTGAACAGGAGATCATGGGGAGGACACATTGGCAGAGAGATTTCTATTAATCTCTGTTTCTGAGTACTAGTGGAAGAAGAACAGCCTTTCTACTTCAGGACGAAGCACATATGAAATTTTGAGAGCACTCAACAGGCAAAATAAAAATTTCAGTTGTGGAGATGAGTTCAGCTTGGTTCAGTTTGTTTTTAATATTCTGACACCCTGTTCGCTCCAGGGTAACAATGGATAAGTAGTTCTTAGCTTGCAAATCGGTGTGTCTGAAAATGGCTCCACTTAACAGATATGAACAAGGGATGCTTTAAAGACTCCTTAAGTATCAGCAGATTAAATGGGGATCTAAGAATAGACACCTAATGACATTTCCCAGCCTAGAGAGGGAAAAGGAAAAATGAAAAAAGAGCCGATGATGTTTTCTCACAGATAATTACTTCAGGTGATTGGTCACCCATTCAACTTGTTGCATCTCGCTGCCTACGCGATTTTGATTTCCCGGTTTATTGTTTTTCAGCGTGTTCCCTCGTGAGCTGAAGGAGGTATTTGCATCTTGGAAGCAGCAGTGCCTGAGCAGGGGCAAGCAGGACATCAGTGAACGCCTGATCAGTGCCTCCCTCTTCCTCCGCTTCCTGTGCCCTGCTATCATGTCCCCCAGCCTCTTCAGCCTCATGCAGGAGTACCCTGATGACCGGACATCTCGCACACTCACGCTTATTGCTAAAGTCATTCAGAATCTCGCCAATTTTGCTAAGTAGGTGGTGGCAACTGAAAACTGAAACCTGTGCCTCTAGGGTGCAAGTCGCTGCAGGTTACTATGGAGCAAGGCGAGCCTGGCTTGGTAGTGGTGTTTGCAGGCAGCTGATTCTCTGTCACACTGAAGTCAGCTTTAGAAAAGGAGGGAACTTCTCACTTATATGTGAACGCAGTTCCCCTTGAGACACCTCAGCAATTGTCCTTTTCACATGCAGATTTGAGCTGTGTTGAATTCGGTAGAGGGGACACAGTATAAAACCAAGAAGAGCCACGCATTAGCATGTCAGTGTGTACGCTATTTCAAAAGAAAAAAAGCCTGTTCCCACCAAGGATCGTGATTTTCTTCCTTTCTTCCTCCAGAATTCCCAGCTGAATGATACAAAGGTCCTGGGGGGAAGAGAAAGGGTATCTGTGGGAGGGAGGGGGGAGAGATGTCTTGATCCTTGATCATAATACGAACAGTGAATTACTAGTATTTAAATAACTCCAAGAAAGCAGTGAATCTCTTAAAAAAAAATTGTCCTTTTTTTTTTTTTTTTTCCTTCCAAACCAAATCTTCAGAAAGGCGGGTCTAAAGTTAAGCATTTAAGTAACTGTCTGTAAGCACTTGTACTCTGTATTTTGTGTGGAAGTTATTGACTGGGTTTCCCCCCCTCCCCTTTCTTGCAGGTTTGGTAATAAGGAAGAGTATATGGCCTTCATGAATGACTTTTTGGAACATGAGTGGGGAGGAATGAAGCGTTTTCTCCTGGAGATCTCTAATCCAGATACCATCTCAAACATGCCTGGATTTGAGGGCTACATCGACCTGGGCAGAGAGCTCTCAGTTTTGCATTCCCTCTTATGGGAGGTTGTGTCCCAACTTGATAAGGTAAAAGCAGGCTGGAGGCCCAGGAGGGTGAATCCGGCGATTGTATCGTAGCAACAGTAAACACTAGGAAACATCAAGGGAGCAGCTGAAGCCTGCTCTGGGGAGAACTTACTCAACAGCTTTTGAGAGGAATGTTTGAGAGTGGTATTTCACAATCGTTCTTTCCGTGATTGCAGATCGGGGCTGGAGTGGTTGGGCTTCAGCAGTAGCACAAACATCTTGCAGAGCCTTAAAGTCAGGACCAGTGTTAAATGGCAGAGAGGGCAGCGCTTAAAAGTAGACCTGGAATTCCCTGAGCAGCCGGTCCTTTCTCATGAGCGAGCTGGAAAAAAGGGAGGGTGTTTGGACAGAAAATGAAAATGTTGGAGTGCCCTTTTTGATGCTAATGGAGGTGCTTTGCTGCACACCAGGCCCGGCCCTGCCCCGCTCCGATGGAGCGATGTGTTGGCCAGGCAGAACCTGTACTCATTAAAGACCCGATCCAAAGTGTGCCAAGATGTTCTCATTTCTGTAGTCTTTGGATTAGTTTTTAGTATACAAGAGGATGCCATGTAAAAACCTGGATCAATTCTCAGTTTTATCCTGTAACAAAAGCAAGATGCTTTCTGCCACGTATTGTGCTGGGGTCAGATACGCTGTCCAGATTCTGTTCTGCTGATCGCAACAGGCATCGCCAGCAATAAGCATTACTTCTGTTCAGCTATTGAAGGAGAAAGGGCAGTAGTTTGCTCTTCCTTAGCTATGTGGCTTTGCAGGATCCAAAATCATTAAAACCTTGATAGCAAAAGTAGTTGATAAGACCCAGAAAAGCTGAGCTGTGAGTCATTCTTTTTTTTGCAAGTGCTTGAAACTGTTCCATATTTCAACTTTTAGAGGTGTGTTATTTTGTCCGTCTTCCATTTATATTTCTTTTGAAACTGGAGAGGTGAGGTGAATTGCAATGCACTCTTAATATTTTTATTGCATTAAGGTTTGCCACAATAGTTATTTGTTGGGTGTCTGTTTTCTCAAGGTACATTATTTAAAACAGAAAACAGAGCTTGTTGCATCAGAGTAAATTGAAATATCCTTGACTCAAAAAGGCAATATACATTAATCTTGGTTAATCTTAGTTTGATAACAATTTATGATCTTGTTTTTCTATTTCCCTCATACATGCACACAGTGTGCACTCAAAATGTCACAGGCAGCAAAGTCAGCTATAAAGGCAGTTCAGCAGCCTCAGGAAAACAGGCAAAGTGAGCACTCAAAAGACTGGATCCTCCATTTCTACAAATTGGGGTAAACCCCCCAGCACAGGGAAGGCTGCCATCTCCCTCCAGCTGGTCAGGCATTAGGTCAAAAGAAACCCAGCTCCGCAAATGGATCTTTGGACTTGCTGTTAGTCACTGTGAGCTGCTCTCTGAATGCAAGGGCGGTAATTGTCTTGGGCAGCGAGGAAAGGGAGGAGCCAGACCTGGACAAACCATCAAAGCAGCTCTGCTTTGCTCTTTCTGTAGGCTAGATGCATGGATCTATCCTAACAGGCCCTTGGGAGCTGGTATAGTGGTTTGCAAAAAAGAGAACTAAGGGGTAAAGTTATATTGCAATACTGGTTTACTGTAGGTAATGACGGGGAAATTATGAGAGAAGTCACCTCAGAGATTTTAATAGACAAAGAAGTGGTGCTATACAAAAGTGTACAGAGACCTTTCTCTGGATCCAGACTGACTGAATACCTGCTTACAAGAACAATAAGGATATCTTTGAAAAGAACATTATCTTTGTAGCAGAGTTTTACTTTTATTATAAACCTCCAGCACTTTCACCTTCTTCCTGCAGCCCCAAGAAGCTGAAGATGCCCTGTAGATGTTATAACCAGCAGTGACCCAAAGAGGGGAGAAAAATAAAGAGCCTGAACGAGCAGCCTTCCTTGCTGGAAGGTCAGCTGCTCTTACCCTAGGCCTGACCAACACTGAGCTAATGCATAAATGAACAAGCAGCTACACTTTTAATCCCAAGCTGGTGTGATAATGTTGGGATCGTTGATGTCTTCATGCAGTTATTTTTCACTTTTAAGTGGGGAAAAACACCTTAGATTTTGGTAACGGGGCGCTACAGAAGATGGCATCAGTGCGCCAGTGCCAAAAGTGAAAGGCTTACGAAATGAAAACCTTCCCTTTCCCCAACCCCCTCAACCCTTGCGATTCTTTCATGATCCCCCTGAATGCCGCATCCCCTTGTCTGTTGGCATGCATTTCCTTTACCACATGACACCCTTTGCCTGGAAAGTTCCCCCCCACTAGCTGAATCTGTAGTCTTTGAATGCCCTTTAATGAGTAGATACCATAGTTTTCACTTTGACCTCACCCATCCTGGACTTAGTTTGCTTTGCATGATAGTTTTGCATTGGAATGGCAATAGTTTTGTTTTATTGAGCATGATTTTTATTTTTGGGGGTCAATCCTAATTTCTTTTCTATTTCCTTTTCTTTCCTCAATGTCTGCTGCACCCCGTTTCGTCTCCTCCATCCATCTCGTCGCCGTGGTTACGCTGCTCCGTAACACTGCATTACGGTCCTGGCACACCCGCACACAACCACCCACCCTCCTTCCTTCCACCTCCACCCTTCCGCCTCTGTGCATCGTTATCAAAAAAACTGGCGGATGTCGCGGTGCTTGTTGTCCAATTAGGGTGAAAATTCCTTCCTACAGGCGACCGTGGCAAAACTGGGACCTCTTCCTCGTATTCTTGCTGATATCACCAAATCAATGACCAACCCTACACCGATACAGCAGCAGCTGAGGCGTTTCACTGAGCACAGCTCTAGTCCAAATGTCAGTGGCAGTCTCTCCTCAGGGCTTCAGAAGATTTTTGAGGACCCCACTGATGGGTACGTAACAGCCAGAGCTCAAGGGAAGATGTGGGTAAGGGGGTTGGTTAAGCCTGTTCAGGGTTGAGTGCTTCATCACCTGAGCTGTCTGCCCAGGCCAGCTGTCAGAGTGGGGAGCTTGGGCCTCCGTCACAGAGAACACACAGTCCTAGTAAGAGGGTGCACGAGGTGGCCCTGGAGACCTGAAGCTTTTGACTTACCCAGGACTCCAGCGTGTCTCTAGGAGTCAATGGCTTCAGCTGCTAAAAAACAGTTTTGCAATTTACTGCCAGTCTGAGTGGCCAGATGCGTAGTCAGCCATAATGTTTCCTTCTGGTGACCGTGCCGCTTATTTACTGCTAATGGAAAAACTGGGCTGTAGGTGGAACTTGTTACTGGTGGAATAGCAAAAAACAGTCCCTCTTCTGTTTGGTGCAGCATTTCTCACACTGTAATAGCTGTTAATCTGAAGCAAAAAGCTGTGACACAGCAGAACTGCCAAAGAGCTTGGATACTGGGGTCTCAGAGTAGTTTCTGCACTGTCAGGTATGAGGGCCAGTTTGGTCATGTGGAAGCCCCTGCCCTCTGAGCTTACGTCTGGACCTGCAGGATCCTTGGCACAACTCCTGTTCAGTCTTCAGGCGCCCACAATACACAGCTCTGGCAAAGAGTTAAATGGGATCTGAACTGCTCTGAAGTCTCGCCGGAGACAGAAGTGTTTAAGGGGGAAGGATTTGGTGGGAATGGTTTGCATTTCACCTGTGGAAAAATAAAGACGAAGCATTTCTTGAATCAAACGTAATTCTCAAAGATAAGTGGTAATTAAGGAAGAGTGTGTTCTGACTTGAACGCAAAGAGCTCATAAAAGGAAATCTAGTTCCTTGAAGCTTTCGTATGAGGGGAGGAGGTTAAATGAGGTAGAAAGACTTCTCTGGGACAGATCTCTTGGCTGCTTAAAAATTAACCAAATTCCTTTCCACTCCACAGTGACTTGCATAAGCTGAAGTCTCCAACCCAAGAAAACGTAGATGGATATTTCAGGGGCAAGACCTTACTGTTGGTTCAGCACCCAGAGCATGACTTACTCGGATAAGGATGAAAGGGAAAGTGTCTTGCCCAATGGACGTAGCATCTCTCTCATGGACCTGCAGGATCCTCACACGGCTCACAGTGACCATGCTTCTATCATGCACGATGTGCCTTTGCGCTTGGCCGGCAGCCAGCTCTCTATCGCACAGGTGGCGAACATCAAACAGCTGTGGGAAACTCAGAGCACGCCCCAGAGCGCTCCCCAGGTGAGAAGGCCTCTGCACCCGGCTTTGAACCAACAGGGCAGCCTCCAGCCTCTGTCGTTCCAGAACCCAGTTTACCATCTCAACAACCCAACCCCGCCAATGCCGAAGGCCTCTGTGGACTCCAGCCTGGAGAACCTGAGCACTGCCAGTTCTCGGAGCCGAAGCAACAGCGAAGACTTCAAACTTAGCGGACCCAGCAACAGCAGCATGGAGGACTTCACCAAGCGCAGCACGCAGAGTGAGGACTTCTCCCGGCGCCACACAGTCCCAGACAAGCACGTCCCCATCGCGCTGCCCCGCCAGAACAGCAGCAGCCAAGCACAGATCCGCAAAATGGACCAAGCCGGGCTGGGTGCCAGGGCCAAAGCACCGCAGTCCTTGCCACACAGCGCTTCCTTGCGGAGCACGGGCAGCATGTCGGGAGTGTCGGGGGCCATGGTGACTGAACCCATTCAGAATGGGAGCCGGTCCCGGCAGCAGTCCTCCTCCTCTAGAGAGAGCCCTGTCCCAAAGGTGAGGGCAATTCAGAGGCAACAAACACAGCAGGTAAGGAAAGCCTTTTTCCAGGTGCTTTCTGCTTTGATGTTTAGCCGATTGCTGCATTCACCTTCAGAGCTTTTTGACCTTCAGGTTGAACTGTGTCGAATCAAGAGTGCTGGCACTTAAGCGAGTGGCCAGTAGTAAGTGTAAGAAATAGTCGTGCTTGTTACCCTTACAAGCTTGGCAAGCCTAGCTTACCTATTATTTTTGGATGCTTTTGTACTAAATTTAAAAAAAAATGTTTTGCGTTCTCTAAGGTAGCAGCAAGCCTGCTGAAAGAAACAAAACTTGAAAATTTCCCTGAATAAAAAAAAAAGAGAAGCTGTGTTCCAAATTGTAGTTAAGATTGTCAAATGAGAATGCATTTGCCCTGTGGTGCTGATTTAAAAGCATAGCTACCTAAAAACAGAGCAATAAACAAAGATAAAATATCATAGAATAAACTGCTGCTAAAATAATAAGTGTGTACAGCTGTCCTAAGTGTGGAGAAATCTATAGTTCACCATCATGCAACAATCTGTTGCTGGTCCCCAAATAAATACTGCTTTTTCATTAATCATCCCAAACTATGAATAATGCAAACACTTTCTGGAGAGGGGTGCTTATACGTACCAACTCCTAATGCACTTTATCAGTTGTTTATAGGCGACTGTAAATCAAGACTGTCCTGTCAAAAAGCCAACATTCCTTTACCTTAAAAAAAAAAAAATCCTGTTGGAATTTGCTGCATATGAAAATCAGTTTGATGTTAAAGAGAAAGGTATTTAAATGCTTGGCACTACAGCGAAGGTAGAAGATGTCTCTATCTGCAGGCCAGAGGGAAGGTGGTCGTTTTTCAGAATCTCATATTAGTGCATACAGACTTATCAGCTGGGCAGGGTAAGGCTCTTGAAGGCAACACGTGTGCTATTCCTTGGGGTTAAGTGTTTTCTTCTGTGGTCACTGTGAGGGTAAACATACTCATGTTTAATTTATCTTACCTAGTATTGAAGGAAATTTTTTAAGCTCCTGCTCTCCACACGACCTTCTAGAAAGGATGCTGCTCTGCACACAGGCACCAGTGAGGACTTGCTCTCCAGAAAGTTGCAGCCACTGAGGTTGAGACTGCACCAAGCTGCTGGGGAAGCTACATCCGCAAGGTGCAGGAGGTTGTGGTCCTCCTTGCTGCCGTAGCCCTGTTGGCAGAAGCTCTGGTGAAGGCACAGTTATGCAGGGGGAAGGCTTTTTGGCTTTTAGGGTAAAGCTGGCAGAAGAATTTAGTTGCCAGTGTGAGCTCCTGCTCTGCCAAAGGTCTTACTGGTATCCCTGCTGCTTGGCAAACTCATGAATGTTACAGTCGAAAGGAGGAAAAATCTGGATGATGCCTGGGAACCCAGGAGCAATCAGGGCTTCAAAACTACTTTGATACCTCCAGTTCATTAAAGTACAAGGAGATCAGAAACACTGAATCACAAAGCAAAGGCTATTATGCCAAGTTAGTAATACCAAAAAAAGTAATTGCATATTATTTGAAGTGCATATGCTTGTGTCCTCCTTTGGAGCGTGTGATTTACATTTGGGCATAGAGGGGTTGATAAGTAAAATATATTGAATACAACTAAGCCTAGTGCAGAGGTGGTAGGAAATCTTTAGGCCAGTAACGGGGATAAATTTGAAGGATAAACTCCCTTTGCAGTTCTCAGGCGTCTGGTGTGAACTTGTATTGTATGATCTGTGGGGTTTTACTGTACGGTTCTGTGCCATGTCCTAGCCAAAACCCCCCGGGGAGCTGGTACCTTTCCTCAGGGCTTGTTACGGAGAGTGCCTACACAAATACGCAAAGGCAGCTTTACTCAGAAGGTGTTAGGATAAGGAGGAGAAAGTAAGGGTGTTTCGACTCCAGTCTTTGTGCGTACACCTTACACAGGTGGCTTCTGCCCTGTGTGTATTACAAGAAATATTCAGTTAGCTGTTTGCAAACCCCTGCCTCTTCTTGTCTTACATTGCTGATTACCCAACTGCGCCCAAGTAAAACCTTTGCTTGTTTAGCATCCAAGTGACATCTCAGACTTCCCTCTTCTCCGGTTACTTTTTACGTTCAGTTTCATGGATGCCTGCGACTACGACTGGCTTCAGGGAAGTCTCCTACCCCCTCTTGCAGGCGATGTGCATCTACTTATTTTTCCACTCCACTTTCCATGCTAATTGTTTTCTCTGGATTCATTAGAGTACTTGCTCGTACTTTATTCAGAGAAATCAATTTGTTCTTTCCTTCCCCACACCCTTGAGAAATGTCTTGAAGTGTGCCAAATCGAGTGGCCAACATTTTTTTTGAGGCAAATTCCATTGCGTCCTTTTAATTGCAAATCGTGTTGTGGAATTCTGTTCTTATTTAAAAAAGAAAAAGAGAAAAGAGAAGTTGGGCATGTTCTTTCTGGGCATGTACTCTTTAGGCATGCTTTGTGGGCGTTATAATTATTAGACTCTGTTCTCTACAAGTCCCATTTGTTTCTGAATATAGAGCTAGGCCCTTTGTCTGCTGGGAGAGGTCACTTTTTGCCTTCCATTTCCATTTAGTAGGTAGGTGGGAACAGAAATGTCAGTGTGTTCCTCTGGAAGAGAGGCAAAGAGGGGAATTAATACATGTTACTAGCAGGCTTTTTCTTTTTTTCCCCCCCTTTTCATTAGAGTATAACTCATAACCCGTTAGCGTGTGAAGTGCTCGCCATCCGCTTGGTCTTTGTAGGTTTTCTGAGTTTGGTTGCTGAACATGTTCTGTCCTACAGCTTGCAAAGTTGCTTGGCAGCAGTCTGTTACAAGGCTGGTGATGAAGTTGATAGTCGCCCCTCTGCTATCTCAGTCCTCCAGTGAACGGTGACACTGCTCACCCATAGCTGTTCCTAATTCCTGGTGGCAGAGCTGTACGTAGTTCGTAGTCTCCCTTGCCATGGCTGCCTCACAGCAAACGCCATCAAAAAAAAAAAAAATCTTATTAAGGAGCTTTGCCAGGCTGTCACACACATGGCACTTGAAAGGGACTGTTAGCCTTTCTGCTGTGAAGGCTTCCTTCTAGCGAAAAGGCCTCTGCCTGAAGCCAGGGATTTTTGCCTAATTCCTACTCCTTTCCTTTGCCTTTATGCCCATCCTTGCTGAGGCTCCTTCCAGTGCTGGAGTCCTCGTTGCTGCTCAGGACGAGCAGATCCTCTGGCCAGAGCTGGCGGCAGGACGTGTGCGGCACTCGCCCGCTCTGCCCTCCTCAGCAAGAGAAACAGAAACGGAGGTTGACGAGATCCCTCGCCAGACTCGCGTAAAGAAGCTGCTATTCCCACGTAAAGAGCTCCTTGTCGAAACCAAGGCTTCAGAATCCCCCTGCCGTGGAGCACATTTCACTTTGGCACAATACCGAAATGAGCACAAAAAGAAGCCACAGTTGGGGGGGGTTGTGGTGGTGAAGTTGATCTTCCACATTTCTCAAAAAGTTAAGACAGTGTTGCTCTTTCAGGGGTAATTATGCTAATTCCTGTGCTTATAAACTTGTCTTTGTCCATGAAAATTGCTTGGAATTTGTAGCAAGCTGTATTTCCCCCAACCGGGTGGGGAGTTTCTTGTTTCTTTTCTTGGCTTGCTTTTTGGATTCCCTTAAAGAGGGTAGCCGCTGGTGATGTTCTACAGTTCCAGTAAGCACTGCTGGCCCTGACTTCCCTTTACAGCCTTGTCTGGCTGTATGTGCTACAATAGACCATCTAAATCTGATAGGCGCTACAGTGCTAATGTTACACCTCTTCGCCACTTGTAAGTACCGCTGTGCTGTCTGGTATCCAAGCCATCCTCCATCGCAAGGTCTGTCTGCAGCCTGGCTGAGAAAGCTGCTCCCAAGTTAAGCTCCTCAGTACTCCAACGGAACCAATCTGTCTTACCCGAGCAGGCTGCAAGCAAAGCTGCGTCACTCTGTTTTCTTGGTGAGAAAAATCACAGGTTGAGAAAGCCTTACTGAAAATCTGGCAAAGGGGAAAGGTGGATGTGAACAGGATTTGGAAGCAAGAACTTTTCCAGAGAGAAGCTCACTTAGCGAGGAAGAAAAATTTCTCAAGTATGTTGGTTTTTGAGGGACTCAGGTAAATGCTGTGGGGTCCAAAGTCAAGGAAGGATGAGGTGTCTCTGCAAGAGAGGTTTTGGGGGTCCTTCAAGACTGACAGATTCACAGTCATCTTTCTCCTCCAAATAAACTGCATTTTAGAGCTGATTCCTGTGTAGTTTCTCTGAAGAATGCTTACAGGTATCTGTGCTCCAGGTTCAGTCACCTGTGGATTCTGCCACGATGTCACCGGTGGAAAGGACGGCTGCGTGGGTTCTCAATAACGGGCAGTATGAAGAAGTAGAGGAGGACGCAGAGCAGAATCCAGATGAAGTCAAGCATGCTGAGAAGGTAGGTTTTATCCTGTATGCAGCCGACTCGAGGACTGACGGCGAGTCCTGCCCACCCCGCAGCTGAGTTCAGAAGGGCTTTCAGGTGCTGCTGTGCCAGAGTCATGCTGTCCAACACAGGTTGGATTGGTGTAACTTCCAGCTGTACATGCTGTCACACACATCTGCAACACAATGTCCCATATCACAGATGAACCCAGGTATGGGCTGTAGCATGTCAAACGGGTGCAAACTGACACAGCCAAGAGTTTGTACGTTACAGCCTGGTATTTGGCACTTACATTGCATCGTGAGTCACACTGCCTAAGTGTATTAGATCCTGCTCAAGTCATTATTTTTTATGACAACACTATAGATGCCATTTTTCTCTGCTTGCAAATTTTTTTAGTGATCATTAAACTGCATTAAAAAAAAAAAAAGATTGTTAACCCAACTGAGTATAGCTTAGGAGATGCTAAGTGATTGTACAAGGCTCTGTAAATGCAATTCAATCTTCATCAGTAGTTGCATTCAAATTTTTTCTTGGGCTTCACCTGAGGCAAATGCCTGTCACCTAGAAACACTAGTACAGTGTTTCTGGGCTACACAGAAACATCCATGATCTTTTTTTTTTTTTTTAAAAGTGTATTTATTTTCAGGAGTAGATACCATTTTTCCATATACAGTTACATCTCTATGCTGCTATGGTGATGAAGTTTAGTAAGAGGTTTGATATTTTGAGAAGGCAGGGAGTGAGGAGGAGAACTCAGTGGCCCAGAGGCAGGAACGTAGGATTACTGAGAAAGGTGAGTGAACCCAAACCAAAGTGGAATATGTTGAGATTCATTGCACTGTTGCAGAAGTGATTGTCCACAGAGACAGTAAGAAGAACAAAACCTCAGTGAAGTAAACTTACGGACTCTGTTCTGTAGTGAATGATTTGCTCTGTCTTCACATGTGGTTTCATGCCTTGATTAGGTCCTGAAAAATGAGTGATTTGGGTCCCATACTGGTCAATTTTGTAAGTTTGGTCACCCTGGGACATTTTTGCAGTTGAGAACTATTAGCAGCTCCTGTCTGGGAACTGCTTGAGTCTGGAGTAACTGGGGATGTTACAGGTCAGGGCTGAGGTGCCAGGTCAGAGCCCTCTGACAGCTTAAATTGTGCTACAGAATGACATCCTACAGTGCAGGAATAGCTTAATGCTCAGTGGGAGCCTACGTGCCCTTTGTCTGTGTTTGCTTGTCATTTCCTTTACTTCTATCAATTTATTTTTCATTAAAAAAAACAGTGACCTTCTCTGAACAGCAGTAGAAGATTATAATGATCTGATCTCCTCCTTTTTCCTTTGCATCTGATTCTTTCCTTCTTTCCTTCCACCTGCAGTATGAACAAGAGATAGCCAAGCTGAAGGAGCGCCTGAAGGTGTCAAGTCGCCGGCTGGAGGAGTATGAGCGGCGGCTCCTGGTGCAAGAGCAGCAAATGCAGAAGCTGCTGATGGAGTACAAGTCTAGGCTGGAAGACAGTGAGGAGAGGCTGCGCAGGCAACAGGAGGAGAAGGACAGCCAGATGAAAAGCATCATCAGCAGGTGAGGCTTTGGAAAGCTTGGGACTGTGCAGGACGAGCAGCCTCCCCTGTGTCACATTTCTCTTTGACACTAAAGAAGGTAGTTGCATGGGCTTCTTGACATCTCTGGACTGTTGCCATCATCCTGCCTTAGAGGTGATGAAATGGGGATGCGGGCACGGAAACTTGCCGCAGATTGCCAGGAGAGCGAAGGAAAAGATTTAGGAATTTTTTACCCTGCTCTCTGTTGTACTTCTAACAGGTCTTTTTGCCTTGTGTGGAATCTGTACTCCAGGCAGTAGTTTTTCAGAGCAGTTGCACTTTTGGCAATGTCCATTTGAGAATAACAAGGTTAGACAATTGGGAGAGCCAGATGGATAGATAAACATTTCCGAGTGCAGCAGAATTCTTCTCTCACAGAGCCAGGGCAATCAGAGAAGTCAAACCAACAGGCCAGAGTACCTGAAACACTCTGGAATAGTATTGAAGTGTCCTAATTCGTACCTCTTCTTGCTCATCAGACTCATGGCAGTTGAAGAGGAGCTGAAGAAGGATCACGCAGAGATGCAAGCTGTCATCGATGCAAAGCAGAAGATAATTGATGCACAGGTAAGGAGCTCAGGATCTCCAAGAACCAAGTGTTCTGTGCGTAGAACCCATTATTTTCCCCTGTCCTCCCGCCCCAGCACTGTTATCTAGCTCCCAAGCCAGTAATGGCCCATGGTGTTGCACATGTGACTTCCTGCCCTCCAGGAGAGAATTGGGTTTGTTAATTAATAAAGACCGTACTGCCTGGCACTAGGCTTTGAGACAGCTTGACAATAAATCACAGGACTGATTGCTTCTCCAAAACCTTTCCTACTTTGAGATCCCAAGGGGGTAAAGGAATAGCGATGCATTGTGTGGACATCGTTCCGAGCGTGGGCCTGGGAAGTCTGGAAAAGCTGTGCCTCATACCAGCATAGTTTAATCGCCATGTGCATGCATCTCAGCTATGCAGGCTAAAAGCATGGCTTTGAACGTTTGAGTCGAGAAAAGAGAATGCTTGCAATGGAGCGTTGCCCTGTATAATGTCACACGTGGCATTTCACCCCATCTGACCGTCCACGTCGGCCCTGGAGAAATGCCCAGTTTGCCACAAACCTTGCAGTGCTTGCCTCGGTCAACCCAAGTTAGCCGTGGAAAGTGGGACCCAGTGGGCAATGCATGTGGGTGTATTGTGTGGGATCATTCCAGCTTTTCTTCTGTGTCTGTGCTGATCCCAGAGAGCCAAGCTTGTACAACAGAACCTGGGACTGGTTTGATATCTGCCTGCCTTGTTATGTTTGTGATAATTTGCATTTGGAGGACATCTTTCCTGCTTCTGGGCTTTTCGGTAGTTCCAACTGTAAGCTTTCCTTAATAGGTAATCACAAGAAGGTGACCTGTTCCAGGAATAACCCAAGTTATTTCAGAAAGTTGT